GACATAAAATTAACCATACCCCATGTTGACATGGCTCCCATATGCATCTCCTTAAACTATACTTAATCTCCAAATAAAGATGATAACAGGGTCATAATTTTGCCTAACATGATGCAATTATCCAACATACAGCTGAAAATGCACTAACACCTTCCCTGGAAGATGAGGTTAAGTCCTTGAGTGACGTTTGTACTTCTCCTTGATATCCCTAACTTAAATATTATGATGTAAAATTATTAATACTTAATTAAATATTATGATATAAATCCTATACATCTTATATGATAAGGGAATAAGAGAGGGAAGGAGAAAAAGATATTTGCCTAACACACACACACACACACACACACACACACACAAACACAAACACATAGGCATAAGGAAATACTCATGACAATTACAATCTTTGTTTTTGTAACTGGTTATGTGGTCATAGCTGCTATTAATAACTACGTTTTTCTATTACCCGTTCTGTATTCACTTTGCCTTCAGCAAGCACCGCAGCTGGTTGTGGTTCTTTACCTGGTTCTTCACCCAAACCTTCATTCCTGAAGAATCTGGGCCATTAGTGGTCCTTCTTGGATTGGGTTATCGTAGTTTTCTATTGACCTGAATCACACGTATTGGTCATACTAAGAGAAGCCCTAAGGGATCTCCTGTTTTCCAGACATACTCTTCCTTACCTCCTCTGTGGAGTACCAGTCCAGTTTTCACTTGGTAGTCAGGATCACTCACCCTAGCCAGCACAGTAACTTCCTCTTTGCTTGTTGATTCAGAAGCATGAGGAATCCAAAGTGACCAAGCAGCAATGTTAAGTTCCATTTCAGTGGAATAATTGTGTCAATGGAATAAATGTGAAAGCATTCTTCCCTCTTGAATTAAGACCTCTAGGCCAACAGATCATAAGATCCTGGGAACAGAAAGCGAAACTTCTGCAAGTGGGTCTTTAGGGGTAATAATGAGTGGTGCCACTCCCATTCCACCTTTTTATTTGTGAACCCATGAATCTTATCTGGGGGGGAAACAGCACCATATACTGGATGCTGATTCATAGGATATATAATGTTCTAGAGAACTTTGCCCCAGCTCTACAAGGTATTGTCACCTAGCTGGCACTGTAATTGAGTCTTTGAAAGGCCATTCCATCATTCTATCAAACTAGCTACTTCATGATGGTGGGGAACATGTTAAGACCAGTGAATTCCATGAGCATGGGCCAAGTGCATCTCTTCTTTTGCTGTGAAGTGAGTTTCTTGATCAGAAACAATGCTGTGTGGAGTAACATGACAGTGGATAAGCATTCTGTAAGTCCATAGATGGTAGTTTTGGCAGAAGCATGGCGTGCAGGGATGGCAAATCCATATCCAGAGTAAGTATCTCTTCCAGTAAGAACAGTATACTTTCACGATAGTAGTTGTCTAACGTAATCAACCCGTTACTAGGTAGCTGGCTGATCACCCTGGGGAATGGTGCCATATCAGGGAGCCATTGTTAATCTCTGCTGCTGATAGGTAGTTACTCACCTGTGGCCATAACAATGTTGGCTTTGGTGACTGGAAGTCCATGTTGTTGAGCCCTGCATATCCTCCATCCCTCCCACCACGGCCCCTTTGTTCATGAACCCATTGGGCGATGACAGTGTGATTGGGGAAAAAAGCTGATGGTATCCACTTGATTAAAATCCTTCTTTGCCAGGTCACCCATGAGCATTCACATGGGACGCAAGTATCTTCATGTTTTTTTGCCCGTTCAGAGAGATCTGTCCACTTACCTCTTCCCCGGATTTCCTTCTCAATTTTCCAATCATGTTCCTTTCATATCCTGTGCCATTCAACGAACTATTCGCCATAGCCTGTGAATCAGTATATAATTGCACACCTGACCATTTCTTATTTCAAATAAAGTCAACCATTAGGTGCACTGCTAAAATTTCAGCCCACTGGGAGGATTTGCTTTCACCACTGTCTTTCAGGGATGTTCCAGAAGGGGACTGTAGAAATGCAGCTATTCACTTTTGGGTAGTGCCTGCATATCATGCAGAACCATATGTAAACCAGACTTGAGTCTTCTCTTCTTCTAACTGATCATAGAGAGCTCCCCATAAGGCCATCGGTGCAGGGTAGGAGAGAGAGTGAATTCTGTTTTACTCTACGTTTTGTACTCTTCAGGCCTTTTGTTTTATTTATGTTTTTTTATGTTTGTGTACATGAGTAAAATTTATCTGTAATTTTCCTTTCTTTTACAGTCCTTTTCTCGTTTTGATACCAAGGTTAGACTAGCCTAAATAAATGAGTTAAGGATTGTCTCTCTTTTTCATTCTCTGTAAGAGTGGTGTAAAATTAGAATAACCTGTTCTTTGTATGTTTGGTAGAACATTACAGATGAGGTAAGCTTGTTTTATTTTATTTTATCTCCTGCTGATTCAATTTCTTTAAAATTTATAGACCTATTCAGGTTTTTTGTTTCTTTGGGTCAGTTTTGGGCATTTCTATTTTTCTAGAAATTGATCCATTTCAACACAGTATCAACATTTTTGGCATAACATTATCATGATATTCTCTTATTATTCATGCTGCACTGTGGGTAATTTCCTCAGATCTGCTATCCTGAACACTAATTATCTTATTAGCTGAATCTAGTCTGCTTTTAAATTAGTTTTTTTCATCCATTTTTATAATTGTGGTAAAATATACATAACTGAAATTTACCATTTTAGCTATTTTTAAGTGTACAATTCTCTGGCATTAACAGTGTCGTTAACTGCACATTTACAGTGTTGTGCAACCATCATCACTTTCCATATTCCTGAAGTTTTCATCATCCCAGACAGAAACTCTACACATTAAGCAAAAACTCTTCAATCCCCTGATGAAGGGGGTTCTACTTTCTGTCTCTCTGAATTTACTCATTCCAGATACCTCATATAGGTATCCCACATCATACAATATTTGTCCTTTGTATCTGGCTTATTTTACTTAGCATAGTATTTTCAAAGTTCATTCATGTGGTATGTATGTATCAGATATGTATCCGAACTTGTATCAGAAGAACATGTATCAGAACTTTTTTCCTTTTTATGGCTGGATAATATTTCATTGTATGTATATACACACACCACATTTTGTTTATCCATTCTGTTGACGGACACTTTGGTTGTTTCTACCTTTTGGCAATTATGAATAATGTAGCTATGAACATTGTTGTACAAGTCTGTCTGAATCCCTGTTTTCAGTTATTTTTGGTATATACCTAGGAGTGGACTTGCTGGGTCATATGCTAATCATATGTTTAACATTTTCAGGAACCACCCAATTGTTTTCCACAGTGGCTGCACCATTTTGCATTCCAAGCGGCAAAGTACATTTCTAGTTTCTCCACATGCTAGCCAACGCTTATTATTTTCCATTTTGTTGGTAATAGCCATTCTTGTGGGTGTGAAGTGATATCTCCATGTGGTTTGTGCATTTCCCTAGTGACTAATGATCTTGAGCATCTTTTTAGTTGCTCTTGGCCATTTGTATATCTTCATTGGAGAAACATCTATTCAAGTATATTGCACATTTTTCAGTTGGGTAGTTTGTTGCTGTGTTGTAGGAGTTCTTTATATATTCTGGTTATTTATCTGATAAATGATTTTCAAATTTTTTTTCCATTCTGTGGGTTGTCTTTTAGCTCTCTTAATAGTGTCCTTTGATGTATAAAAGGGTTTAATTTTGATGATATCCAATTTATTTTTCTTTTGCTGCCTGAGCTTTTCATGTCATACTTAAGAAACCATTGCCAAATCAAAGATCATGAACATTTCCCTCTCTGTTTTATTTTAAGAGTTTTATAGTTTTAGCTCTTTAACTTAGGTCTTGGATCTATTTTGAGTTTATTTTTATATATGATGTAAGATAGGAGTCCAGTTTCATTCTTTTGCATGTAGATATCTTGTTTTCCTGCACCAATTGTTGAAAAGACTGTCCTTTCCAAATTGGATGTTCTTGCCACCCTTATCAAAAATCAGTTGACCATATATATAAGGTTTATTTCTAGGCTCTGTATTCTATTCCTTTTGTCTATCTTCACGCCGGTACCACGGTTTTTTCTCTTCCACTCGTAGCCTTGGGTGAGATAGGCAAAGTGCCTTCTGTGGAGTAGGTGTTTTCCTAGTTCACACACCGAAAGTGTCACCATCTTGGTGTTACTTTTTCAACTTCATATTAGGTTCCTTGAACTAACCTCCTACCTTGCTGGAGATCACAGCATTTTTTCCTATACTTTGAATACTGTGCTAGTTGAAATCCAGGCTAAAGGATGCTATGAAGAAGTATATGCCTTCAGAATAAACTTTGATCCAGCACTCTCTTATCTTGTAGAACTGTATTTACTCATCTTGTTTAACTTCTGTTTTGTCTTCTCTACTGCTAGTTAAAGCATGCTTTAAATATAGGTTTTTAATATAGTGTTGTGTATTTGCAAATGTTCTTTACCAGGAAGGGATTCTCCACACATCTAGGCCATCATATGAAAGTTGAGAAGACTTTTAAAATCAATTTTGTAATCCATTCTTGATAATCTGCTTATATATAGTTAGAAATTATAACTTATGGCATTTACCTAAATTTTTCTTAACAACTTTCATTTTAGTTACATTATATGCTTTTATAATTTTCTATATGGCTATTATTATGTTACTGTATTGTAATTTGGGTATGGTAGCATGATTTTTTGGTTGCCAATATTGTGAATTGGTTGTTAATATTTTGCATTTTGAAACAGTAAATGCCCTTAAAAATGAGTACAAATAAAGGGTTAGCATAGATAACACTGCACTTTTCTTTGAAAGTTGCAACTTGTGTAGGAGAGATGTCCATGAAAAACTATACAGCCACTCCGTTATTTGAGAGAACAATTTGTACTTTATTAAATAGATTATTATAATAAATATCTTTCTCTTTTTGCCTTTCTTAGTTTTACAGTCTTTAATATTGGTGTGTTTAATTTTTTTTTTACAGGTTTTCTTTAGGGGATGCTAGGAGGCCTCTTCACGAAACAGCAGTTTTGATAGAAGATGTGGTACACACTCAGTTAATTAATCTGGTAAGAGCATGTTATTTGATACCTCTTCTCTGCATTCTGCTTATATTGGGATTGCAGCCCAGCACTTTTTTTTTAAAGATTATATTTACATTTAGAATTCTTTTTGTCAGCCCTATTGAGGTCTAATTTACATATAACAAAATTTCACCAGTTTAAGTGCATAATTCATTGTTTTGACAACTGAATATTGTCATGTGCCTACCAATACAGTCGTGATATAGAACATTTCTATCATCCAAAAAAGTTCCCTTATGTCCCTTTGTAATCAATTCTTTCACCCAGCCCCTGACCTCTGGCAACATCCATCTGTTTTCTGTCTCTATGTCAACATAGTTTTTCGAGAACCCTTTTAAAAACTTTTTTATTTTGAATTTTGGACTTATAAAAGAATTGCAGAAAGAGTACAGAGACTTCCCAGATACCCTTCAGCTTCCTCTGTTAACATCTTAAATAACCATGGTACAATTATCAAAACCAGGAAATAACATTGGTACAATACCATTAATAAAATTACCAACCTTATTTGAATTTCATCAGTTTTCTCATTAATGTCCCTTTTCTGTTCCAGGAGCCAATCCAGGATAACACATTGTAGTTAGTTATCATGTCTTTGTAGTCTTCTCCTATCTATGATAGTTCGTCAGTCTGCTTGTCTTTCATGACCTTGTCGCTTTTGAAAAGTACTAGACAGTTATTTTGTAGAATGTCCTTCTTTTTCAATTGGTCTGATGTTTTCTTATGATTAGAATGTGGCTATTCATTTTTGTCAAGAATACCACAGAAGTGGTGGGTCCTTCTTTGTGTATCGTATCAACAGCTTCATGTTCTTGATGTTTTATTTGTGATCTTAACCCTGATATGATAACTTGGTTAAGGTGGTATATGCTGAATTTTTCCACTGTAATGAAATTACTATTTTTTTTTCATTTTATTCTTAATAAATATCTTAGGGGAGATATTTTGTGACTGTGCAAATATTCTCTTTCCTTGAAAATTTTTGCCTATTAATTTTAACATTCATCAGTGGATCTTGTCTGAGACAGTTATTACTGTGCTATTTGCCTAGTAGTAGTTTTCTGTTTCCTTCTTTTCTTTTATATTTTTAACTGCAATTATTCTTAAAGGAATAGTTATCTTTTATCACCATTTATTTATACAAGTTTTAATGTATATACATATGAGCTAATGTATATTTAAATTTTATTCTTAGGATCATTATGCAATAATATCATTATCTATATTTATTGCTCAAGTAGTTCCAGTGTTGGCCATTAGGAACACTTTCATATCCTTTCCCCATTTTTCTGTCAAGTTCTTGGTCTTATCTCCCATATATATTAGGAATATCAGTCTTTTGTGGTATATGATATAAATATATTTTTCCACTGTGTCAGTTATCTTTTGACTTTGTTTTTATGGCCTTTTTTGGGCATATGAGTATTTTTATTTTAACATAGTCAAGTGCATAAATCTTTTATTGCCTTTGGATTTTGAATCATTGTTGGAACCAAGTTTAAAGAGAAATTCATCCATGTTGCCTTCTAGTACTTGTATGATTTCTTTTTTAACATTTAGATCTCTAGTCTATTTGTAGTTTATTCTTGTTATTGTGTGAGATATGGATCTATTTTTATCTTTTTCCAAATGATTACCCAGTTATATCATCACCATTTGTTAAAAAGTCCATATTTTCCCTAATGAGTTGAGATGTCTCCTTTATCATATACTAAATTAGCATATGTATTGAGATCTATTTCTGATTTTATATTCTATACCAATGGTTTATTTGTCTATGCATGTACTAATATGACATTTTTAATTATAAAGGTTTTGTGGTATATTTTAAAGAAGGTTACAGCTAGACTCCTTTTGTAATTTTTCTTTCTGTGTTCCTAGTTATTCTTGTATGTTTATTTTTCCATATGAATGTTAGTATTAAATTTTCTAGTTCCATAAAATAGTTTCTTGGCACTTTTATTGAAATTGCATGAATTTATAAGTTAATTTAGAGAGAACTGCATCTTACAAATGTTTAATCAATCTAAGCATAGGGAATGTCTTTACATTTTCTCAAGACTACTTTATGTCTTTCCTGAGTGTTTTAACATTTTTCTTCACTAGACTTCACATACTTCTTGTTAGATTTATTCCTAAGTATTTAATCTTCTTTTCTGTTATTGCAAATGGCCTTTCTCTATAATTGCATAATGGCTGAAAACATCTGAAATTTACTGAAATACATAAATCTACAGATTCAAGAAGCTGAGAAAACTCCAAACAAGATAAACCCAAAGAAATCTATGTTCAAACTGCTGAATACTAAAGGTATAATATAAATCTTAAAAGCACCTAGATTCATTACCATAGGGGATCAATGGTTTGAAAGACAGCAGAATTTTCATTACAAAACATGGAGACTAGCAGGAAATGGCACAGTGATTTTAAGTACTAGATAGAGAATTCTCAGTTGGCAGTTATTTTTCTCTGACTCCTTGTTCACATGGCCTTTTTTCCTTTGTTTCTTTGTCTCCATGTGTCCTCCCTTCTTACAAAAACGTCAGATATTTACTAGTTAGTGCTACTGTTATCATATGTATTAAATCTGTGCATGCTATTATCTACACATTACAGTGTTGTAGCTTTTCCATTAAAGAACCATACGTCTTTTAAAGAAATAAAGAGATAAAAGAAAGTATATATAATCTTGCACATTGACCCACACATTTACCATTTTCCATGCTCATCATTCTTTCTTATAGATCTGAGTTGCCATTTAAATTACATCCTTCAACCTGAAGAACTTGAACATTTTTTGTGGTACAGATGTGCCAGTGATGAATTCTCTTAAGTTTCTTTCATCTGAATGTGTGTTTTTTTCACCTTTGAGATATATCTTTTCTATAGGTGAAATTCTAGTTGTAATGTTTTCCCTTTAGCTGTCTGAAGTGCCACTCGAATATTTTCCAGCATGCATTAGTTTCTGATGATAGGTAAGCTGCTATTCTCTTGTTCCCCTGTATATAACATGTTGTCTTTCTCTGGCTGATTCCAAGATTTTCTCTTTATCATTGGGTCTCAGCAGTTTGATGTGCCTAGGACTCATTTTCTTCATGATTATCTTGCTTGCAAGTTTGTTGATCTTCTTGGTTCCGTAGACTAATATTTTCCACCAATTTGCAGAAGTTTTCAGCCATTATTTTTTTCCTGTGTCTTTCATTCTAGGATTTCAATTATATGTGTGTTGGACCACTTGTTATTTTTTCACAGGTCTCTGAGGGCCTCTAAATTTTCTTCAAACTTTATTCCTCACTCTGTTTTGTTGTTGTTTTGTTTGGCTTTGGTAGTTTCTGTAAGTTCACTGATTCTTCTGTAATCTTTAATCTGCTATTTAGTCAATCTAGTATATTTTTCATTTTAGTCATAATATTTTCTATTATACTATTTGAAAATGTATCTTATTGGGTTATAATACCCCTTTTTGAATTTCAGATGCACTTTTTTATATTGTTCTTCCATTTTAAATATAGAAGTTGGAACATTATTTGATGATGACCATTGCAATAGAATAAACAAGAAATGGCTTATCTTGTCTTTACTGATAAAGAGCCTCTTATTACAATGTATGCTTACCTCTCCTTACCCATGTAATATTTTGATACTAGTTTTGATTTCTATTTGTGAGATTGACCCTGTCCAGATATCAATAAGTGTGAAGTTGAATGAGAGACATTGCTAGAGGAAGGCGTTGCTGTTTTCTCTTTGCCATATCAAGGCAGGTATCAGAGTGAGTTCTTCAGATGAAAGAAAGACTAATCGAGAAATGGTTTTAAATAGTTTGTATTTTTTCACCATTGAATATTATATAGCCATTACAAATTGTGTGTGTGTGTGTTTTTTATGCTCTGTTCTGTAATTCTGTACCCATTTACCTATTAAGACCCATTTTTTCCTTTGTTTTTTTCCATGTTTCTTGAGATATTATTGATATATAACATGGTGTAAATTTAAGGTGTTTAATGAGATGATTTATGTTTATGTTATATATATGTTATAATATTTGTTATTGTGAAATGATTACCACAATAAGGTTAATTAACACATCCATTACCTCACATATTCAACATTTTTGTGTGTGTGTGGGGGAAACATTTAATATCTACAATTTTAGCAACTTTCAAGTATACGATACAGTGTTCTTAACTATATTCACCATGCTATACATTAGATCATTAGAACTGATTCATCGTATAATTAGAAGTTTATATGCTTTGACCGTGTTCTCCCATTTCTCTCACCCCCACCCTCTATGAGTTTGCTTTTTTTAGATCCGCAAGTAATGAGATAATACAGTATATATCTTTCTCTTTCTGACTTATTGCACTTAGCATGGATTCACACTGCTTTTGTGTCTAGGATAGGAAGTACTGTTGGAAGATAAAAACTATGAAACTCACTGCCAGATTCTTATATTCTGAATTCTGATTTCTCTTTCGAGTCTACCTGCTACAATTTACTTTTCAGAATCCTTGGATAGTTGTCACATGCATTCTCTCCGAGGTTTTACATTATACTCAATGAGAGAAGCAGTGTGCTTACTCCATCTTAACTGGCAAAATATTTGATTTTAATCATTTTCCTAAACATTGTTGGATCACCTGAGTCAATGAATGCACTTTATTTTCATTAAAAAAATCTTCATTGAGATATACTTGATACATAACATTATATTAGTTTCAGAGGTACAGCATAATGATTCGATATTTGTATATATTGCAAAATGATCACCATAATGAATCTAGTGCATCAGAATAGTAGTACATTTTTATCATAGCATATTTGTTCCATAATGTTACCTAAGGAATTCCTATTTCTGATATTGATATAAAGTAAAAGTACATTGCTTCCAAGTAGAGATTCATTTGCAACAAAGTGAAGTAGTTTACTCCAGATTTAAGCTTCTCTTAAAGAGAACTTGCTTGTTTAGTTACCTTTGATGGTAG